CTGGAGGGGACGCGCAGCAGCCTCGGGGGTCTTTGTCAAGGTGGGTGGGATGGGGGCGACCAGGAGCGAGCTCAAGGTATTCCAGGTAGGTGGGATGTGGGAACTGGGGACGGGGGGGGTGGGGAGAGCAGGCATCCCTGAAACCTCCACGCTCATGGTCCCCGTGCTCACCCCCGTCCCCTCCCCCCCTAACCCCCCAGGCCTGGGCGCAGGCGAGTGGGCGGTATGAGGGGTGCCCCGAGGACCCAGCCAAGTGGAAGACCAACTTCCGCTGCGCCCTGAGGAGCACCCGCATGTTCAGGTTGGTGGACGACCGCTCCACGAGTGGTGACGACCCGCACAAGGTCTTTGCCATCACCCCAGGTGAGCCTGGCCCCGGGGGGGGCCGTGTCGGGGGTAGGAGTGGGGTGGGCGATCTCAGGGCACCCCACTCACGCCGCTCTCCTTCCAGCCGCCCTCTGGCGTGGTGAGGAGGGAGATTTCGGCAGCCCTGACCCTGCGGTGGACCAGCAGCCGCTGCACCAGCAGCCACAGGTAGCGGGGTGGGCATGGTGGCCTGGGGGAGAACCTGCTGCTGCCACTCAGGCATTGCACTCCCATGTCCTTGGGGTGCTCCTGAACTGGAGCCCAGCACCCGGCTGAAATGTGGGGCAGGGGAAGGCTGGGCCCCCCCATCCACAGTAGTAAGACCCCATCCCGCTTCTCTTCAAAGCTGGAGCTTAACCCCCAAGACGTGGCCCCAGAAATCGCTCCCCCAGGTAGGTGCTGGTTCCCCAATTTTTTTTGGGGGGGGGGGACACCCCAGTAGGCTCAGCTGGGGCTGGTTTTAGGGTTGTGAGACCTCCCACCTGCTGTGCCCCCTGTCAGGCAGCACTGACCCTGCACAGCCCCCGACGCTGGATGACCTGGAGGCCCTGCAGTGGGTGCTGAAGCTGTGCGACATCTCCCCCCGTGACCTTGACCACCCGACCCCATCGTGGGGGACTGCAGGTGAGACTGACCCCACTTGTGGGGCACGGGGTGGGGAGTGACCCCATGGGTGGGTGACCCTAGCCCCTTCCCACCGGTGATTTCTCTGCAGGGGATGCTCCTCACCAGGACACCCTGCTCCAGCCTCACCCAGACCCCAACCAAAACAACTGCCTCCCCCCGCCGCCATTTCAGCAATGGGCGCCTGCAGCGGAGCAGCCCCCCTTGGGCGCCTACAGCCCCACAGACCCCATGCTGCTGGAGGAGCCAGGTGGGTGCTGTGGGGCAGGCTCCAGCCCTGCGCATGGGATCGCCATAACGGGGCGGGAAGAGGACGGGGTGCTGCCGCACGTACCCCTGAAGCAACCCCTCCCACCCTGCTGCACCCCCAAATCATGATGCTGACGCTGCCCGTCTCCTGCTGCAGGGGCCATACCACTGCCGTGCCACCCACCAGACGTCACGGTTCCTGGGCTGTCCCCAGGGGAGGCGATGCTCTTTGCCCCCGCCACCAGCCCTGTGCCGCTGCCACCGCAGGATAACACAGGTGAGGGTTATTAATTATTAATAGCTACAAATAATTATTATAATTATTAATAATAAATACTATCGTGTAACTATTAATAGTTATTAATGCCCAGGGAGACATTTTGGGGACGGGGACCATTGGGGTTTGGGGGGACGCAGCTGCTGATCACTGCCTGGTACAGATGGCATCATCCCCATCCTGGACATCAGCATCTACTACCGGGGGAAGCTCTTCCACCAGGAGGAGGTGGGGGGCAGCCAGTGCCTGCTGGCGTACCAGTCGTCTGACCCAGCGGTGGTCCTGCGCCCCGGGCGCCTGGTGCACTTCCCCAGCCCCGCAGAGCTGGCTGACAGTAAGCAGCGGCGTTTCACCGAGGAGCTGCTGGGCAACGCAGGGCTGCAGCTGGAGCAACGTGCCTGCAAGCTCTTTGCCACCCGCCTGAAGAAGTGCAAGGTCTTCTGGGCACTGTCTCAGCAGCTTGAGGGCATCGGGGACCCCCCACGCAACCTGCTCTGCCGGGACCAGGAAACCCCCATCTTTGACTTCAATGAGTTTTGCACAGGTGGGCAGGGGCAATCCCCCCCATCCTGGTTTTGGAGCTTGCGAGAGCCAGCTCCAGGATGTCACAAGCATGTGAAACCTCCCAGCCCCTCTGTGTCATCTGGGCTCACCCCAAAACTGAGCCCTGTCTCCTCGTGCAGAGCTGAGGGACTTCCGCAATGGCCAAAGGCAGCGGTCCCCTGACTTCACCATCTACCTCTGCTTCGGGCAGTCCTTCTCCAAGGCCAGGCCCAAGGAGTCCAAGCTCATCCTGGTCAAGGTACAGGGGCCAACACCCACCACTGCTGCCCAGGGAGGGGGAGACTCCTGGGGGCCAGGGGAGATGGGGGTCTGGGTACCCAAGGAGGGGGACTCTAGAGGTCTGTGGGAGATGGGGCTCTGGGTGCCTGAGGAGGGGGACCCTCGGGGGCTGGGGGAGATGAGGGTTCCGTGGGGTCTGGGGGTGGGGACTCTCAGGGTCCAGGGGAGAGGGGGGGTCTGGGTGCCTGAGGAGGTGGGCCCTCAGGGGCTGGGGGAGATGGGAGACTGTGTGCCCAGGGAAGGGAAGCCTTGGGGAACAAGGGAAATATGGGGGGGGCTGGTGCCTGGGAAGGAGACCCTTGGGGGCTGGGCGGGATGGGGTGGGAGGCAGCTGCCCAGGGATGGGGACCCTCAGGGTCTGGGGGAGCTATAGAGTGCCCCGCACACCTCCTTCATCTGCTCCAGGAGGACAGGGCCATGCAGGGCATTGCAGCCACATCAGGCAGCTGCCCCTAACCCTGCCCATAACCCTGACGGTTTGCTGCCACAGCTGGTGCCCAAGTTCTGCGAGTACTGGTATGAGCAGGTGCTGCGGGAGGGAGCCTCCTCTCTCGACAGCGGCACCGTCAGCTTGCAGCTCTCCGACTCCTTCAGCCTCTTCGAGCTCATTGAGCAGTGCAACATGCAGATAGACTGACTCCCACCCACCCCGCTCCCCGTGGACCCCTGGGACAGGCACCTGCCGGCAGGGGACCACTGGGCATCGGAGGCCGTGCAAACCGGCATCCCCCCAGGAATGCTGTGGTGGAATGCCTATGGTGGGGATCTTTCGTCCTCCGATTCCGCCCCGCCCCCAGCAAGGACAGCTTCACTAGCTGGTCCCAGAGCTGACAAGTTGCTTTTCCCCTCCGTCAGCTGCTAACGTGTGCGTTTGTGGAGTGTGGTCATTTACAGATTTATTTTCTTAAGTTTTGTAAGTTTAAATATATATGTATGGAAAGGTGCTTCCTGCTTGCTGATGTTGCCTGGACATCTGCCCACACTTATCAGTCTGAGACTTTCACCCCCCTGGCATCCCCCAACACCATGGGGGTCCGTGGCCAGCCTTGTCCCAGCAAAGCCCCTGCTGGCAGCGGGCTCGTAGCAGGGCGCTTGTCAGCGCCTCCCCGTTAACATTTGTGTAAATGAGGTGACTTCCCACGCATGCAGGCATGCATTTATTGATGCATTTATTTCCATGCACTGAGGCTGCAAACATGATTTGCGAGCAAAGCGTGTTGAGGACAGCTTGGCTTTGGCTAAAGAAAAATAATTCTTCGGCGAGCACCTCCCCGCTGGCCCAGGGTTACTCACTTGAGATGTTCTGGAAAAATAAGGCAGTAACTACAACAGGAAGCACCCAGAGCACAGCTCCGAGGCGCAGAGGTGGTGGTATCTCAGGGAGGAGCATGGTAACCAGAGCACTGCCTGAAGATGGGGTGTCCCCTCCCCAGGCTGGAAGCAGCAGCACCCCCTCATTTCGGGAGCAAGAGGAGAGGATGAGCCTGGCCATCAATGTTGGACCCAGAGCAAGAGGAGGTGGCAGCCTCCTTACCTGCCGATTGATGTGGATGCTGCTGGGCCCAAAGGTGGTGGTCCCGTAGCTTGTCACGTAATAGTGAGCAGAGGGCTGCGCCGGGGGCTCCTCCAGCTGCCTGGGCACTGTGGGGGTGGGGGGACACCATCAGCACCTCAGCTCCATGAACCCCTCAAGCCCTCCTCCCCCCCAAGCACTGCTGCGGCGCAAAACTAGGACCATTTGGCTCACCTTTGGGCAGGAGCAGCTCTGCACCAAAGCGGTGCCCACACGTCCCACAGGTTTTAATGTCTTCCTTCGTCCTGCGGAGGAAAAAGCCCCGAGAAGAAGGAGCAGCAGCTGCCCTCAGCACTTCCCATGCAAGACAATGCCAGGGCGATGGAAGAAGCTCCCTCTTTCCACCCTGACATGAGGTCCTGCTGTCAGTGGGATGGCTGTTGCCTTCCCAGGTGCCTGAGCACCTTCAGCTCTTCATGAAGTGGGGGACGTGGGCACCTGTCCAGAGGGGACATTATGTGCCTGAGCCCCAGAGTCTTGACTTTTTCACCTTTTTTTCCACGCTTGAATTTCCCACACAAGTAAATGCTACCACCACATGGGGGACGGGCTACTACAGTCAGGAGAAGGGCGACATAGTGCCCAGTGAGTTTTGCAACTAATTTCACATGGCTTTTGGAAGCTGACCAGCCCCACCAGCATTGCCATACCAACCACCCAGCTCCAGCCCTCAGCTTGGAGTGGCGCAGCACATACGTACATGGCATTTGTGCCATCCATGTCTGGCCAGATGAGCTCCGCAGGACAACCAGCCGTTCGGCAGGGTGTCTTCATGCACATGTGCAGCCCCGGCCACTCCTCAGCGAGCTTCTGGATGGTGAAGACAACCGCCATGAGGAAGTCCCAGGCAAACTGGAAACCTTCCAGGCAAAAGGAGAACATCTTGCTTACTCACAGCCACCCAACCGTGGCAGCCCAGGAGATGCTGTGGTGATGCACGCATCGCTTCCAGCCTGTCGGACCACAGCCAGAATGGCTTGACCAGTTCCATTTCTCAAGTTAACCAAGGCCCACCAGCCTTCAAAGGGAATTGAAAGATATGTTGGAAGCGCTTCCCAACTCAGATGGCCCTTTTGTTTATCACTTGGAGACCCAGCCTGAGACCATACTCTGCTGGGACCTTATGGGGAAGGATGACCTGTTTGCTCCATGAGAATACTGAAAACTTGACTTTCCACTTTCATGTGACACCTTGAGAGGAATCCTGACCAGGTTGCATGGAGAAAGGGGAAATCTTTAATTGAACTGCTAGTGGACCCTGGCCAGAGCAGGACGTGTGGCAGAGGCTTCTGGGATGCTCTCCCCAGAGGAGTGGAAGTGGCAGTTAAGGAGAGACATGTGGTTGGGAGTCATGAAATAAGGATCCTTACCTGTCCTTCCTGCCGGCTTTCTGCATCGGAGCTCCAGGTAGCTGTAGGCTCTCTGGTTATTCTCTTTGATCAGCAGAGGTTTGCCATTGGATATGAGCAGGCAGGTTGCCTTGGCCACCCAGTGTGTGGAGTAGAAGGAACAAGCTTTCACCAGGAACCTGTAAGGAGATTGACCACAGCTTTCACCACTCTCCTCCCTGCTTATCTCTGACACTGGGGGGAAGTGTGGCAGCAGGTGGACTTGAAAAATATGAACCCAATTTCAGTAGAAACAGAGGCAGACATCAAATGAGGACCCTGCTCTACTGAAAGCTCAAGCAGCAGGAGCAGCCTCTTAAGCCAAGAGCTGCTTCCAGAGTTGGCCATCTATCCTGATTTTTGGCTGGGATAGAGTTAATTTTTTTTCCTAGTAGCTGGTATAGTACTGTGTTTTGGATTTAGGATGGGAATAATGTTGATAACAGATGGATGTTTTCAGTTGGTGCTGAGCAGTGCTTGCACAGAGTCAAGGACTTTTCAGCATCTCACCCCACCCCCACTAGCAAGCAGGCTGGGGGGGGCACAAGAAGTTGGGAGGGGACACAGCTGGGACAGCTGACCCAAACTGACCCAAGGGATATTCCAGACCGTATGCCATCGTGCTCAGGATATAAACTGGGGAAAGCTGGCCAGGAGGCTGCTGCTTGGGAACGGGCTGGGATCGGTTGGTTGGTGGTGAGCAATTGTATTTCATTTGCATCACATGTTTTTCTTTGGTTTTATTTTTCTCTCTTTTTGTTATTTTCATTTTCATTACAACATTACTATTACTATTATTATTCCAATATTTCAATTATTAAACTGTTCTTATCTCAACCCATGAGTTTTCTTACTTTTACCCTTCTGATTGTCTCCCCATCCCACCTGGGGCAGGAGTGAGTGAGCAGCTATGTGGTGCTTAGATGCTGGCTGGAGTTAAATCATGACACCATCAGATAAAGCTCTGGACACAAATCAAGAACCCCACAAGGCCAGGAGACCTTCCAGAAACTGGAACAGTCCCAGCACCTGTAAAAACTGGACCATCCTCAGGTGGGACTGGGAGACCTCTGACTGCCTGGATGGGCACAGACTAGCCAAAAACCACCCCAGATGAAAGGTGAAGCAGAAGGAGCACGGTCCTTGTTCACATCCAGGTAACGAACATCAAAATGGTTCATCCAGGGCTCCACATGTCTGTGGCAGAGCCGAGAAGCCACCCTAGTCTCCTGAGTCATAGCCTCATGCCTCAGCAAGGGCTTGCTGTCGGTCATACTGGTGCCGCGTCGAGCAAACCCTGAACTGCACAGCCTCATTGAGGGCTGGAGACCACTGCTTACCTCTGGAAGAAACCCTCAGGTATTTCGGGTGAGAAGTAGGCACGGATGTGGAGGTCCTCAGGGTGATCTCCTCCCCACACCTCAGAGACCTCTTCGGTCTGGTTCAGATAGGTTGGGAACAAGTACCAGGACTCGCCTTGCCCCCGCGTTGTCTCCCATGGCTTCCCGGGCACAAACTCACTGGCCTGTGGGTTGAGTGCTTTGGCATGCCTCACCTCCAGGCAGAGCTCAAAGTGCTCCAGGAGGCTGAAGAGCTTCCCTCTCCTGCTGGGGGGCCTATGTCCCATGATTTCCTCAAAGACGTCCCGCATCCCTTCTGAACAGAGCTGGTGCTTCACCAAGGCACGCACAGCCCGGTGGCACAGCATTGCCTTTGACTTGAAAGTCCACACCCAGTTGGACCTGTCTCTGATGGTAGCATGTTCCCCAATCAGCGTGTCCACAGAGATGCTCTCGAGCTGCTGGACTAGGCGGTACCTCACAAGGAGCTGGGTGGGAAGAGAAGGAGAGAAGAGGCGGCAATGAGAGGAACCCAGCAAAGCTGCAGAGCTTGGGACCTGCAGAGAAGACAGTCCTGATCCCCACACTCACCTTGAACATAGTTATTAGGAAGGTAGGCTGGAGAAAAACAGTGCTTTCCAGGTGCTTGATTTCCTCGTACCACACGACAAGCCCGACGCGGTGGAGGTACCGCAAGATGTCCTGGAGAAGCTCTCTGCCCAGGTTAGCCAGGTGCTCGCACTGGGAGAGTTTGCTGAGCAGATACTGGAGGTCCATCATGCCTAGAGGGAGACGCAGGAGCTCAGGACACATCTCTTGGACACCAGTGTTCCAAGGCAGATGCTTTAGAGAGCCAACAAACACCAGCAGCACCCAATGTCACCCATGCCATCCCTGGGGAAGCAGCTGGGACCAGCACGATGCTTGGTGGCTGCGGTCCAAAATGCTTTGCCCATCCTCAGCTGTCCCACTGCCATCCTGCAGCTCCCATGGTCTTGCCTTGCCTCAGTGGTGCCAACAGCCTGCCAGGACCTCAACAGAGCAGCTGATAAATGAGGCTAATATTGCGGGTTTTTTTTTTTTTTCATTGTTTGAGAGAGCAGGTTTGTTTCCAGCCAGAAAACCTCAGATTGTCATTTAGTCGTGCAGTGAGACAGGCAACAGAACCTGGCTTATCTCCACAAAAGAAAAGCATTTGCTCCTCATCCTCTAATCCTACAGTGGCCAGGGGAGCCGGAGATGACATCCTTGGTGCTGGTGGTGTTCCTACCTGCTTTAGGTACATAAGCAAGGAGCTGGGGCTACCTGCTAGTCCTGCTAAGTCACAGGAGACACAGAGAAGGGGCTAGGGAGCGGTAGGGGCCATTAAATAAAGTCAGTGGGATGTAGGTTGCGAAACCACACAGAAGCATTAAAACTGTGGAGCTCCTTCCTGCAAGATTTTTTAATTGCTTATATAGGGCAAAGGGGAGAAAGAACAATGTTACCGGAAAGAAAGAAACCAGACAACATGGCCAGCTCCAGGTACCTCCAGCCACAGGTTGGTAGATGCTGGCAGAGCCTCCTGCTGAAGACATGCTGGGCCTTTTCCTATGCTTTTCCCTAGGTACCTGCCTTGGAGGCACATGCTCATAATGACAGAACTGGGTAGTAGCAATTAATGCTCCAGCAATAACACTGCAAGGTCTTCAGCAGCGACCCCACCACCACGTGAATGGGGCCAGAAGGTGCAGCAAGCACTGGAAAGCCTGTCCCAGCCGTAGGACAGCAGGTCCTCCCAGGAAAGTACGGCGGGGTTCATGGACCACTCACCATGGTCTGCCAACTCCTCGCCCTGTGCGATATCTACAATGGCAGCTTCCACCTGCCTATAGACGGGTGGCAGCACTCGGACGACCTCAGGGAAGAGCTCCTCGTTCTTCACATGCTCCAAAATAGTGGCCTCGAGCTTTTTGATATCGTGGTGATCTGTGCAGTTGACAGCAACTAAGTTTAAGATCTGGAAGAAAGAAAGCACACACCTGCCAAAAGCACATCCAGAGGAGTCTTTTAGCCTGCAAGGTAAAGGAGGGACCTAATGCCAAAGAGGTCACCAAGGATGGAACATGCCGCTGGCTCAGCTTCAGAGGGCGCTTCCTTTACACCTTTGCTTTGCAGCAGTTCCCAGAAAATCACCTACGGATGGTAAATGCACCTTCCCCCCCGCCCCAGCTCCTCACCAAGCACTTGCTACAAGCCACAGGAGCAGATGCTCACCACTGAGCAGGGAGAAAGATGCAGCAGGTCACAGCCAAGGGTTACTACATCCACCCTAGCCCCGGGTAGTGGCTGCAGTAGCAGCCTGATGCATTAGCACCAGGTCAGCATCACCAGTAGCATGCTGGGCTGCCAGAGACAACAGGGTGACCACAGACAGCAAAGAACCACGATTATCTCAGGCCTACTGTTAATGTGCAGCTCTCCATCTCCTTCAGCCTCTCCCACTGGTCCACGTAAAACTCGGGCTCCTCACTGCCCTCCAGATTGTCGATGAAGTGAGCGAGGTTGCTTTTTCTCTCCATCAGCATGGCTGTGATCTTGGCCATGATGTCACATCTCTTCTCCTCCACCTCCTCCTCCCGGCAGCAGTCCACGTGGGTTCCCACGGGAAGCACCACTGAGTTTGGGACTCGCATGGACAGGTTGTTGATCCAGAAACCGACGAGCTCCTTGAAAGTCTTGTCATTAGTTTGGTACCTGGGAAGGGAGAGAAAGAAAATCCCAAATTCACATCTAACCCGCCGGCTCTACAGCCAACTTCCACCAGCACAGGCCTGACCATGCACCGCACCTTATGCTGTCCCAGGGGCTTACTGGAGAAGAGCTCAGATGTCCTAAGCTGTCACGGGCCATATCCAAGCTCATCCGTAAGTTTCCCATCCTTAAGCTAAGCCAGTTAAAGCTATGGGGTGTAGCAGAGTCTGTCCCTGCTATGGATGGGAGCATCCCTCTGTACCACAAAGCCCAAACCTGATGCTCCCTCCATGTTCAGGGAGCACCACAAGATATAGGAGAGCTCATAGATGTATTGCCAAGGCAGAAAGTAAAGTCACATAAGGAGTTAATGCTCATCTAACCCCACAAAACAGAGGACTTGGTAAGGCGATCACAGATCTAGTGGCTTAATTAAAAGAGTGATCTGCAAAAAGGGGGAGAGGGAGAGCTGGCTACTCCTGCAGTGAGAAGACCAGGCATCAAGGTCCAATGGAAATGGTGTGAACCCATGCAGGGGAAAGCTTGCCCAGCCCCTTTTTTCTTCTCGCATGCCACTTTGAATCCAAACCAGCTCAGCATTTACATGTGGAGATTGATGACAAGGATGACAAGTGCCTGTGGGGTGATGAACACATGGTGAGTCATGTAGTATTCCAGCTGGCCAGCAAAGTCCCAGAAGAGAAATGTGAAGTCCTCGATCCGGAACTCGCTGATCTCTATCCCAACCGTTCGCTCTTCCTTGGGCACCAGTTTGGTTTGCCCTTGCTTCAGGCTTTTGCAGATGGTGGACTTCCCCGCCAGCGAGGCCCCCAGGAACATGGTCTTGACCCTCTTGTCCTCCTGGCCTGAACTGTGTTGAAGCTGGTTGAAGTAATTCCGGATCTGCTGGATGCCACCAGCGCACACTTCACTGGGTGGCTCCCGGAGGGGGTTCCCATTGGCCTTGAACATTTTCAGGGATTGCCCCTGGAAGAGCTCCCTGGGGAGCTGGCGAAGGACATTATTCTGCACATGGAGCTCCTGCAAGTGTGCCAGCTGCAGGACAGGCTGGGGGAAGGTCCGGAACAGGTTGTTGGAGATGTTGAGGTACTGAAGGCTGCCTTGACATGCTGTCAGGTCCTTGGGGAGGGCACCAAGACGGTTGTTGTTCAGCCTCAAGTGTTTAAGCCTGGGGAGGTGGGAGAAAACCCCCTCTGGGATGACCCGGATTTGGTTCTGATTCAGCTCAAGCTTCTCTAAACAGACCAGGCTCTGGATTTCAGTGGGAAAGTCCACAATCTCATTCTTGGACAGTATTAGCCTCTTCAGGTTGCAAAGCTTAGAAATGCCGGTGATGCTCCTGAGCTTGTTCCTGTCGAGGTCAAGGCTTTCCAGCCTGGGGTTGCTCAGGACTGCTGGTGGCAGCACGCGCAGCCTCTGGGTAGAGAGAGTCACTTCACGCAAACCATCCTCCTGCTCCTGACCTGCACACATGGGACAGGGGAGGTGGTTAAGAGAGACTTTCACCCTTTGGGTTACAGAACATTTTTTTCTCTTGAGCTCTGCACGACTTGGGGATCATTTTGGCCAGCAAGGAAAAGCAGGGGCAAGACATAGGAGCTGGTCCTATGTCCTCTCAAGAGAGGAACCAAAGCTGAGGCACAAGGATCTCGGCTAGGCCTGAAGACACAGGAAGAAACGGTGGCCACCACATGTTGGCCTGTAGCCCAAGCATCACATTAACAGCTTTGCTCTCATTAAAGCACTGCAAGAGCTCCAGCTGCAGATGCATCTACCCCGAAACCGGCAGGTTTCTAATCCCAGCAGCAGGCTGGCGGGGCAGAGCCGACGTCAGCGGGAGAGCTGCTTTCCAAATAACTCGCCCAGTCCACCCTCAGCTCTCGACCACAGCTAGGGAGATGTGTTGAGGCCAGGGCTAGTGTCTTCAGACACTTCCTCTCTCACATCCTCCCCCTGCTCCAGAGGCATGCTACAATTCCCTGCAGAGATGCTCCCAGCCCCGGGAGACCGGGGGAATAACGCAGGGACAGTAGGGTCCCCCACAGGACAGGGCGCACGAGAAGGGACTCAGTGACGGCCAAAAACATCCCCAAAAGGAATGCATTTAGAGCAGAGAAGGTTGCAGGCAAGAAGAGTGCCAGGGGATGTGGGATGGGGATCACACAATACTAGAACAAAACATGGTCAGATTTGCTTTTCTCTCCGTTTTTTCACTTCCTCACCAGATGACACCAAGCACGGAATCCCCTTGCGCAAGGCACCCTGCTCAGGACCGACTCATTGTCAGTTCTCAGCATCACCACCTAAACCTGGGACATGCAACAAGCCCAGCAGGAAAGCAAGCTTTCACACCCTCCCAAACGCCCGGTCCCTCCCCTGGCACCATCAGACAGACAAGCCAAGGGCTCCCACCACTGCTCTGAACCAGAGCAGCGAAGACCCGGGGTGGCTACTCACAGGCTCTGGGCTGGGTCATGGCCCTGCAGCGTGGCACCGGCTGGATCCTCCCAGTCACTTGGCCTCTTTCATTTCCTCCTATTTTTTTCGCTCCCCGCCTCCCCGTGCTCTGCCCGGGAACCCCACCCTCTCTTTCTCCATCCATCCTCAGAGCAGCTCCCAACAACCCGAGCACTGCTGGCCAGATACCAGGGCCAAGCATGTGTCCCAAAAACAGCTCTGGAGGTTACCAACAAAAGTGGTGGCAGAGCAGCGCCCGAGTCAACTTTTTACAGCAGCGTCCCTGCCTTTGCTAAAGAAGCTTTTAGTGTTACCACTGTTGCAGAGGAGGGAAAGGACACTCACAAGAAGTTATGCTATCACCAAACTACCACATGTGTTGAAGAAAAAAGATTTCTTCTGTTAAACAGGTGGCAGCAGCTGATCTAAGAGGGTCAAAAAGAAGGGGAAAGGGGAGGAAAGGGGGAATAAAGGGGGGAAAGGGGGAAAAAGGGAAGAGTGCAAGTAGCATACACAGTATACTACAAAACCATGCCAGAAGAGGCATTTTTAGGTGTTTCTTATTGCCTCTCCTCAGGGCCAGCTTACAATTTGATGGATTTATTTTTAACAGTAGACAGAATGAAAGAACCACTATTCTTGTTCACATAACTTCAGGGAAAAGCATGTGCAGAAGGTATAGTTTTCAGCTTCATTACTCTTCCAGGGAATGGCAGGTGCAGAGGTAACTGAAATTGAACAGTCCTTACAGTACACGCATTCCTAATATATCTTGCAACAGGCTGTTATCTTCACTGCTAATTCAAGGATAACACTAACCAAGAATTTAAAGCAGCGAGGCAGGCTGAAGAACAAAACAGATTGACATTGTCTTCTTGGGCAACAGTGTAGTCGCTTTTATTATTTGGTCAAGCTTTGTTTTTCACACTACCTACCCTTTTTCGCTCATGCAGGCAGGTTATTCCAGAATTGTTCCTCCAATGAGCCCAGAGGGTTGTGGTGAGTGGGGTGAAATCCAGTCGGCAGCAGGTCACAAGTGGTGTTCCTCAGGGCTTGGTGTTGGGCCCTGTTCTGTTTAATATCGTTAACAGTGATCTGGATGAGGGGATCGAGTGCACCCTCAGCAAGTTTGCAGACAACACCAAGTTGGGAGGGAGGGTCGATCTGCTTGAGGGTAGGAAGGCTCTACAGAGGGATCTGGACAGGCTGGATCAATGGGCTGAGACCAATCGTATGAAGACCAACAAGGCCAAGTGCTGGGTCCTGCACTTGGGTCACAACAACCCCATGGAGGGCTACAGGCTTGGGGAAGAGTGGCTGGAAAGCTGCCCGGCAGAAAAAGACCTGGGGGTGCTGGTTCACAGCCACCTGAATATGAGCCAGCAGTGTGCCCAGGTGGCCAAGAAGGCCAACAGCATCCTGGCCTGCATCAGAAATGGTGTGGCCAGCAGGAGCAGGGAGGTGATTGTGCCCCTGTATATGGCACTGATGAGGCCGCACCTCGAGTACTGTGTTCAGTTTTGGGCCCCTCACTATAAGAAAGGCATTGAGGTGCTGGAGCATGTCCAGAGAAAGGCAATGGAGCTGGTGAGGGGCACAAGTCTTATGAGGAGCAGCTGAGGGAACTGGGGTTGTTTAGCCTGGAGAAAAGGAGGCTGAGGGGAGACCTTATTGCTCTCTACAACTACCTGAAGGGGGGTTGTAGTGAGGTGGGTGCTGGTCTCTTCTGTCAGGTGGATGGTGATAGGATGAGAAGAAATGGCCTCGAGTTGTGGCAGGGGAGGTTTAGATTGGATATTAGGAAAAATTTCTTTACTGAAAGGGTTGTCAAACATTGGAACAGGCTGCCTAGAGAAGTGGCTGAGTCACTGTCTCTGGAGGTATTCGAAAAGCACATAGACAAGGCACTTCAGGACATGGTTTAGTGGGCATGATGGATAGTTGGACTCAATGATCTTGAAGGTCTTTTCCAACCTAAATGATTCTATGATACATCCAAAGGTGTCCAGTTTCCAGCCTAAGTTTATTCCCACCTAGATCACATTCTCTCGTTCTTGTGACAACAGTGCCATAAAAGTTTCTGAACTTTGTCAAGAAATCTATTATCAGTCTTTGTATTTACAACCCCACACCCATCTGCAAGGTATATATTCTAGCTACAAGTGTAGCTTTAAAACTAAAGCTTCTCTTCCAGCTATTCTTTTGCAGTCTTAGTGAGCTTTGTTCCAAAATCTTCAACTGAAGCCCAAAGTTACCAACCCCTTGTACTCCATTCAGGTTGTGCTTTCATACAGGAAGCAAACGGAGCCAAGGAAGATCCACTCCAAAATGCTCATCCATAAACACTTCTGCAGGGTGGTGAATGATGGGCATGAAGCATTTTGCCAGTCCAGACAGTACTGGTATATGGACTTGTTTTGCTTAAATTAAAAAAAAAAAAAAAAAAAAAGTCCCCACATCAGCTACTTGGAACCACAGCCAAAATTATCGTATACAGACAAAAATCTTATGATCAAAATCAGAGTTCACTGAAAAGTTAGGAATGCTAGCAAGAAATCAAAGATCTTGCTATTTGTGAGTCTTCCCATGCTCAGAAGGAGAGAAAAAAAAAACCCCAACAACAAAAAAGGAGATGCAGTTACTTGCTTTATAAAACTCATCCCAGAAAGCCTAACTATTTTCTCTTTGAAGACAGGCAGCAAGACTAT